ACATACATTTGACCACATTACTGCCAAATTGTACAGGTGTTTGATGTCACCCTTAGGTAGATAACTAGCTGGAACAGACTTGCAAACAGCTCATGCAGAATCCCAGCTTCAAACTGAAGAAGCCGTAGGAACATGCCAGCTTCCAGTAGGTCACAGTCAGCTTTTCCCGGATAAGCAAAATTGAGGACTGACAAGAATTACCATTTGTTGGATTTTTTTCGCTTTTATATGAAACACATGCACTGGTTACGTGTTGACTGCACAGTCAATAGTTAACTTCAAATGAAGTAGAAAATGTGCTCTTCTAGTTAGATATAGACTACTGAAACTCTATGGAGTAGGTAGGTAATAAACCATTTTTACATGCAGAAGAAAACATATACAATAGACATGGCGTTCTCAGTGGATTTTTTTTATGCTTTTATGTGTCTAATCCAATACAAAGTAAAACATCAGTCATCCAGTAGTCTCTGGGAGGGGAGGAACATGTGAGAAATGGTAAAACTCTATAGAACTAGCTTAAGAGGTGGACTTTGAATTTTTGGCAGCAGAGGTGTGTAGCTGTAGATTGGAACCAGTCTGTTTCTGCCAACATTAGTGAACAGTGCTGAAAGCTCATGCAAAACAGAAGAAGCTAGACCCTTGACATTTTTCTCACAATTGTTGCTTTTTAAATCACAGCCTTTGCATGCAAAACTGTGTTGTATTCATCCATTATGCATGTCCTAGAAATTTGATAGAGGTCTCATATGTTCCTTCTAAGAGGATAAAGCCAGCTGCAGTACCCGATTTTAAAGATGTGGTTACTGGCTTGAAATGTCATTAAGTGTATTATTTGGTATTCCTTTGACTTGAATCTTTTGGATGAGAGTTTTAAAATGCTAGTCCTCTCTGATTTTAGTGAACGTTAGAGACAGCACACAATTATTATTAAAAAAGGGCTCAAGGTGTTGTTACTGGGTTCTCTAGTAATGATCTCATCTTTCTAGTGATAACATAATGATGTGTTACACAAGACTGCATAGAAGTAGCTGTAGATCTTAGTTTCTGCCTTTTTGAGAAGCGTTTTAGGAATATGCCTTACTTCAACTAACCTGTATGTACCTACCAGATCATGCTTAGCCTAGAAGTATTCTGTGGGTTTTTGTTACTTGTAAAAGAAGGATGAACAATGCCAGTGGCTTTGTTTTAATCACATTTGATGAATAGCAATTTACTGTGACATTTTCACCTGCTACCATAGTAGGTTAGCTGTTCATTAAAAACTCGGGAGAAGGTGCCATCACCAATAGTCTTTCTTCCAGCATCTGATTTCCTAGTTCTCTCTTCAAGTTTGGTGTGAATAAACTGGCTGAAAGTAGAATGACATCTGAAACATGTGTGATCAAGCTCGCTTCTCATACTAAGTATTGTCATTATTGTTATTACTACCTCCTTCTGTGTGATTTCACTGACAAGCTACACGAATCTTTATAGAGCTATGCTCTATATTGCGTGTGAAACAAACATAGAACACAGATGCTACTTGATGAAGTTTTGTTATTGATTTTTCTTCACGCAAAAAGTGTACAAAATAGAGTCAGATAAAAAAATGGAGACCTTGCCCTGGTTTATATTTTTCTTCCTTTATGACAGATTTAATTGGAAATCTAACAGGAAATTAGACTGGAAGATTATCAACTGCATGGCTGGCATGCCATGAAAGATCGAGTGACTGTATCTTTCATATTACACTCCAAAGCAGCTTTATCAAGTGTCTGGGATTTCTCATGGATATCAAATATGACATCAGCAGCTTCAGTAGCAAAAATATTCTAAGGTACATGGGGTAGAAAAGCTACACAAATTCTCTTACAGTGTTTGGACGTTAAAGATGAGGGATCTTTTGCATTGTTATCTTAAAGTGACAAAGAAAAAAGAAAGCTACAGAAGCTAAACCATCTGTACAAAGCCCTATCAACTGTATATTTCCTAAGGATCTTTCCAAAGAAGCCTTTAGGAGGATTGGTTTTTCAGGGCTAGCCTCTGCAGTATCTCATCATGTCAGCCAACCATTCCACAGGAGTATAAATTAATGGCAACATACCTCTTATAAAAGTCCCTTTTGGATTTTGCCAGTTTACCTTACCTTACCTTACCTTACCTTACCTTACCTTACCTTACCTTACCAGTGTGTCTCTGGTGAAAATTACTCAAAAGTATCTATTTGGCTGTCATTTGTTCATACAAAAGAGATCAGAGTTCAGTCTGTACAACCAGAGAGGGAGAGAAAGAGGAGTGCTCAAGTCTTTCTGTCTGTCCTGCTTAGGTGGAAAACTTAGTTACCCCAAAGTCACATGGAGCTAGTTTCACTGGCTTGCTCGGCAAAGATTCATCTCTCTGCAGAGGGATCATAGTGCTGTGCCTCTTGACAGAACGCGGTTTCTTAAAGCCATGTTTATCCCAGGGACCTTGTTGGAAGTGGATTATCATCCTCCACAGACTCTGATATTGAGCAGTTGTCCAAATCAGGAAGGAAGCACTTGTGCTTGTGAAACTGCACTGGAAATAATTCAGCTGTTTACACGTGACGAGAAGATGGTTAGCTGTTTCTCTTTAAATTGAAGCTGGCAGAAATATTTCACTGTTGACAAAAGAAAAGAGAGGGGTAAAAAGCCGTGATTGAGGAACCCTATTTGGCATGATGTACTTGCCTGTTACTGGCAACAGTAGCAGGGAGATTCAGCATCTTTAGGAGATTTAAATGAAAATATTATAACTCTATACTCCTTGGTATCGATTACAACATCATCACAAGCATCATCACAAAAGACAGCTAAACTTGACTGTTCATTTCAGAGGCCACAGTCTTTTCCACAATGTTTGAGTACAGCTTTATGCACCTACTAGTGGTTTTGGCATCTGCAAATTAAATATAATTTGAACACTGCAATGCAATACATGGAATTACCTATACCCCAGGAAAGGTTGCATATAGAAGCTTCAGATATTCCATATCTAACATATGGTATTTTCAGGAAGGGACAAACTGGAGCAAGACATTTGAAAACATGTGGAGCCTCAGGTGTTCAGGTCAGAGCACATTGCAAGAGGGAGATTTGGCGGATATCAAGTTGTAGAAGTTGGTATTTTCTATAGCTTTTTGCTAAGTTGACAGTGCAGCTTTAGTTTCGAAAATTTAGCACATCTCACAGAAAGTAGAAAAGAACAGTAGGAAAAATGTTCGTTTCTGCTCTGAGGATGCAATTTCTTTTGAAGTCAATGGGCGTTGCTTGCTTATGTGGTCTTTGGAAGGGCAAAAAGAAGTCAAAAGATTGCAACAAAAAGACTATGCTTACATTTGAAATGGAAGACCTTCGCTACGCTTACCTGATGATACTCTGCCTGGTTTGTTCATTCAGGAAAAGCAATATCAGAACTTCTGTGTAAGTGGATAGACAGATTTGGAGGCTGAGTTGGCGAGATGTTCCTAGTTGGCCTTATTGCCATGGCCCTGGTAGCACACATCAGCTGTAACCCATAGGAACTAAATACTTGTGAAAACAAGTCATATTTCATCCTTCATGCTTTTTGGATTTAATCTTGTTTTAACAGTTTGCTGGATGTACCAGATGATTGATGCTGTCACACTGCAGATAAAATTTACAGTTCTGTCATTTTTATTCAATGTTTCAGAAGCATTTTGGTGCAAGCTGGAATCTGAATCAATCTTACCCATTTTTTTCTATGGTTCATCTTAGTTATAAAAATAATCCATCTAATTCTCAGTGATTCATTGGCAGACATTTCCTAAATACAGATCTAGAATGAATTAGTAGGTTAGTTGAACCTGAATATGTCTTGAAGTACATGTGCTGTATTTCTTTTTAAATACGCTACCAGGAGATATAAGTGAATATAGGATCAGAATCTTGTGAAATACGTGACAGGAGAACAGTTATGTTTAGTCACAAGCCTATTAGGCCTACTTTCTTAATAAATATCATAGGATAATATCACAACAATTACATGGGATGTAGCGAAAAGCTCATTATACTGAAAAAAAGTTTGAGCTCCCGAAATTTCAGCATGTGATAATGTCAGGGTTTTTACCTGTAAAGATGGCCTGCAAGGACTGTGCTTTTTTCAGTTCAGGCCTTGGGCCTCAAAGCAGCATTTAAATGGTCTTGGGTCATCCATGATTATTAGCAGGTCATAAAATTACTCTAAAAAGGAAAGAGACTGACTCCTGGTATAGCAGGAGTTCCATTCTATGCTTTAGAAATAGATATTTACCTCGTCCTCAAGCCTACTTGACTTGAATTTACTGTCCATATGAAATTATGAAGTCACCT